AATGCTTTAACTTAGCCTGGAACGGAACAGAATGCTTTAGCTTAGCCTGGAACGGAACAGAATGCTTTAGCTTAGCCTGGAACGGAACAGAATGCTTTAGCTTAGCCTGGAACGGAACAGAATGCTTTAGCTTAGCCTGGAACGGAACAGAATGCTTTAACTTAGCCTGGAACGGAACAGAATGCTTTAACTTAGCCTGGAACGGAACAGAATGCTTTAGCTTAGCCTGGAACGGAACAGAATGCTTTAACTTAGCCTGGAACGGAACAGAATGCTTTAACTTAGCCTGGAACGGAACAGAATGCTTTAACTTAGCCTGGAACGGAACAGAATGCTTTAACTTAGCCTGGAACGGAACAGAATGCTTTAGCTTAGCCTGGAACGGAACAGAATGCTTTAACTTAGCCTGGAACGGAACAGAATGCTTTAACTTAGCCTGGAACGGAACAGAATGCTTTAACTTAGCCTGGAACGGAACAGAATGCTTTAACTTAGCCTGGAACGGAACAGAATGCTTTAACTTAGCCTGGAACGGAACAGAATGCTTTAACTTAGCCTGGAACAGAACAGAATGCTTTAGCTTAGCCTGGAACGGAATGCTTTAACGTTCTAAGTGGTGTACTGACCGAGGCGAGGCCCATGATGCGGGGGAAGGTGAAGGAAGAGCAGGCGTCTGGCGTCTGGCCGTAAGACGTGTAAGGCGTCTGGAACCAGGCCTTCTCATTGGCCCACACCACATCACAGAGCGGCAGGATGGCGGCGCCGAGGCCGAGCGCCGGCCCATTCACCGCTGCCACGATCGGCTTCCTGAACTGGATGAAGGTGTTGACGAAGGTCCTGAGGAGAGGAGACAAGGGTCAGAGGTCAGCGCTTACCAACTGATGACATCAGACAGGACGGCGATGAGCGAGGCGTTACCTGATGGTTTCGGCCATCTTGATGCTCTCCTTCTTCCTGTCGTCCGTCAGGCGTCTGATGAAATACAGGAAGTCGAGACCGCAGCAGAAGACGCTGCCGACGGCGCCAAGTAACACCAGCTTACTGTCATCAGATGCTGCTGTCGCCATGGCGCTCTGGATCTCCTTCATCACCTGACGAGGGTGAAGAGGGACGGTAGAGTCTGTGGTTACTGTTGCTATCATCATTTCTGTTATTTTATTCATATCATTGATCAGTTCCACGTGGCGCTGCACCTGAGGGGGGCGTGGCCTCACCTCGGGGTTGAGCGTGTTGTTCTCTGAGCTCTTGGTGGACAGCAGGATGTGGGTGAAGCCGTCTTGTTTCTTCACCACGATGTCGCGGTAACGGTAAGCGCTCTCCGTCTGTCGAACGCTGAACCTCAGACGTTTGTCGAAAGCAGAACGTTCCTCCAGACGCCGTTTCCCCGTCACACTGGTCGCCCCGGCAACAGCACTCTGCACACCTGACATCCCGTTGGCAGCGACAGCCTCCCTCAACGCAGAGTTACCTGGAGGAGAAGCTGGTGAGCACTAGACTTACAGGGTCACCTGGACTGTGGTCTCACCTGTTCCCTGCTGATCCTGGGTTCAGATTTAGTGAAATGCTGTATGACCTTTGACCTTACCTGTTCCGCCAAGGAAGCGCATGGCAGCAGGTGTGACGGGCAGCCGGGGCGGGGGCAGGGGGTTTTGGCAGCGGGGTCTGGTCCCCATGCGGGCCCTCTCCTCTCCGGGTCCCAGCTGGACTCCTGCAGGTTTCTCCAGCAGGGCGACCTCAGGTGGGACCAGGTGGGCCTCCTGAGCTCCGGCCTCCAGGCTGTGAGCCGCCTCACTGGGAGACTCCTCCGAGTCCAGACGGCTGTTCATCGGACTCTTAGGAACCAGGATCTTGATGCCGGTCTTGGACAGGTCCACGCTGCGACGTGCCGAGCCGGCCAGGGACCCCGACATCTGACCGCTGCTGAACCTGCCGGCCGGCAGGGGCTGCTGGGGGCTGACGTAGGCGGGGTGGGTCAGTCCGGCTGGGGGCAGGTGAGCCGGGCCGAGAGCAGGTCTCAGCTGATCAGAGTCTCCGGTTAAACCTCCGCTGCTGATGTCACTGCGAGCGCCGGCGGGCGGAGGCCTGCAGGGCGGTCTGTGGGCGGGGCTGCAGTGGTGGCTGGGCGAGCTGCGGGTGGAGCGCAGTAAGGTGGTGTCTCTCTGTCGCTCAGAGAACTGACGGTTGAAGTCGTGGACGTAGATCATGCAGGTGGACAGGTGACTCTCAGGCTCCCACGTGTCCCCCTCTGAGCTGTAGCCTCGCCACCTGACCAGGTACTCCACCTTCCCCTTCTTATTCTTCCTCTTGTCCACGATCCTCTCCACCTGCAGGGGGAAACGGCTCATCAGAGGGACGCCATCTTTACATGACTCATTACCATCAGTGTGTTGGTCACATTCTGACTGTGTTAATAAAGTTTATTCAGCAGAGACGGCGCGAGGTCGTTTCTCCAACCTGTCCGTCTCAAGCTGACGGATCAATGATGCAACAAATCAGGAAGTTCAGACACAGCTTTAGAAAATCCAAGCACCTTCACTGGGCTGCTGCGATCGATCAGCTGTCCGTCACAAAGACCTGAACACCTTAACAACAAACTGTGCTGCTGATGACGTAATGCTCAGAGATGATCAATAAACCCATTCCTGTCCTACTTTACACCCGTTTATTGATCACCACAGGAGGAAGCCTTCTGATCGACCAGCTGATACTTGATTAATAACTTCAGAGAGAACTGATGACGTAACGAGTTTGTGTTGATCGATCAGTTTTCTGATGAATAGTCTGACCTACGTCACTGTGATCTGAGGTTATTGATTAGCAGAGTGATCGGTTCTTCACTTTATGGACTCTGACACACATGCTAACTCTCCTGCACTGTAATGCTAGCCTGAGCTAACGCCGAGCTAACGCTAAGCTACCTAACTGGGTCTGTAGTTGGTACCGGGGTCCGAACCCTCCGGCTGCGGATTAGGACTCGCGCTCGCGAGTCCCCTAGTCTCTAAAGAACCACTTTACGTCACTTTCTGTCGCTCGGCTGCTCACTTTGTAAAGTTAGCTCTGCCGTTAGCATGTTAGCATTAGCTCGCGTCACCTCGTAGAACTCTTCCGTAGCCATGGAGACAGAGCGCGTGCACGAGCAGCTTCCAGAAGCTTCTTCACTCGAGCGGCACCATGAGAAGAACCCGAAGGTGCGGGTCCAACTGGTTCTGGGGTCCGCAGGTCCGGTACCGGGACGGGGACGGAGTTTAGCACAGTTAACTAGCTGTTAGCGGTTAGCTGTTAGCTTCACGGAAACATCCGCTCTGCCTCACCTCCAAAATAAGAGCCCGCGAGGCCGCTGGCTCTTATTTTTTTCCACAGGTGTCATTTCTGGGCCCCCGGGGACAGGTCCCCTTCACTTTCTTAAAATGTTCCAAAAAAACAGCTACAAGAAAAGTGAACTAACAAATAAAACGTTTAATTAGACAACAAGAAAGCTTGAAGTTTAAAAGAAACAAATTGTCCAAAAAAAGGAACTTCAGCTAAAAGACGAGCTGCATTATGTTCTATTTCTATATTTTATTGGTCCCCACCTTTCCTTTACATAAATAAAACCACGACATAATCTTTATTTCTTTCACTTTAAAGGCTGATTTTTGCTCCTGAGTGAAAGTTAATGTGGTTTCAAACTTTTCTTTCTGCTCAGAACAAACACTTGATGCCAAACACCAGATCAATAATCTGAGGCAGAACATTCAGAACTAATCTGATCAAAACAGATGGCTGCCTTAGTTAAGGTAAAACAAGGTTGGAGAATGAACCCGTAAAGTAAAACACAGCATTTTAAAGGAAGGAGTCAGCTGCGATCCTCTCCGTCACCTGCAGAGGAGCAGCAGGGTGTCGAGGTGGGACGAGGTGTTCCCAACATTTACACTCAAACTATCTCATAACTTTGCCTCAGCTGTCTACAGGAACCTCTCTGATCCAGAACCCTCTCAGTCTTTAGGGTTAGCTTCAAACACAGAGCGCTTTTCACACCTCTGATGCTGAAACACTATCCATGTTTAAACACAGAGTCCAGAATGTGACCACGCTGATGAGGGGTTTCATGTTGGGGAAGTCCAGCTGATCCTTTTTCTTACTGATATGAATTAGATCTCGTGATTTGATTTGACAGCCTTTATTGTCCATGTGCAGTTAAAACACACGATGAAATAAACAAATAAACAGAAGACATGAACACATTTAACAAACAATAGATGTTATCAACATAGAGTGAAGTTACCATGAGCCACAGAGCTGTGTGTCCGTCTGTCCTGCATCGGAGGACACGTGCAACAGAAACCAGGCCTACAGCTCGGAGACTCCTGCTGGAGCAGAGAAGAACAAGACGTACAGGACACAGGCTGGTAATCATGGCAGCTGTCAGAGCTGCTCATGTCTCAGCTAAAACATGACATGCTAATTATTTTCAGTTTTCAGATCATTAACCAACAAAGGTTTGTTAGCCAATGATCTGACAGTTGGATCTGTGGGCTTTGGATCTGTAGTTGCAGGCTTCCTGCTGCTCAATGTGGATGCTGCTGCTGTGTGTTCTCTTTCCTCCCAGGTTCTGCTCGACATTTCTACCTGCTAAAAGAGTTTTTCCTCGCCTTTGTGACCAAATGCTACTCATGACGGGATCTGTTGGGTCTGACTGTGTGGAGGACTCTACTCTATAAAACGTGGATCAGTTTCTGTAGAGCGATGGTGAAGGTCAGTGTGGGCGTCTTGCCCTCTTGGCAGTGCCTTACTAGCTTAACTCTCAGCCAATCCAAGAACAGGCAAAAAGGTGGAGCTGAGGCCGAAAGAAGCCTAAAAGCACCCACCTGTCACTCAGGGCAGCCACGTCCTTAATGACGCATTACTTAATACCTTATTATAATTTAAACAGATGTGAGATGTGACATGTTTATTTCTGTAAAGTTGCTCTTTGAATCCCTGGTTTCTGTTGCAGTTATTAAAACAGAGGTGAAGCGGTAAACTGTGTGTACTGTTTTTATTTTATTTCACAGAAAAAGGTCAGAGATGATGCTGTTGTGATGGACAATGAGGTTTTCTGGATCTGGTCTTCCTCCTGATCCTCATCAGTCTGACTTTTTGTCGGTGCGTTTCTTGCGGCTCTGCATTGACGGTGCCAACAGTGGAATGGCCTCACCATCATCATCAATCAGTGTGGGTCGGGCGAAACAGCAGAGGTAGACGAAGGTGGAGATGAAGATGATCGGGATGCTGACCAGGAGGCAGGCAAACAGCGGAGCCTCGCTGAACAGTGGCTGGACGGACAGACAGAGGACGGAGAGGTCAGAGGTCACTGAGACAAACACACAGGTGCAAACCAGAAACAGGACTGAAAACTTACCGTCAGCGTGACTTTGGCGTCGTAAATTAAACGTCTGATGCGCTGGGCGATGTCGTTTCCTCCCTGTCTCTGAGAAGTGAAACAAAGATCGATCAGAAATAATTAAACAGAGCTGGTGAAGCTCTCCTTTGTCCTCCGGGTGACTCTGGAGTCCGGACTCACCTGGATACTGCCATCCAAAACCCCTTTCAGGAAGTCCAGCAGGTGATGTTCTGCCTGCACAGCGCTAGGTGGCAGGAAGTAGCCATCATTGGACAGATTAACCACAATGAAGGACGGCACAGTCACCTCTCTGACAAGAACAAACCAAACAGAAACACATTAACAACTACACCTATTTGTGACTAGAGACATTACCGACTAGACCATTTGTGACTTGTCTCTGTACTGGTTTTATTAGATCTTAGTGCTGCATTTGATACCGCTGACCATCAGATCCTATTGCAGAGACTGGAACATTTCATTGGCATTAAAGGAACCGCTCTAAGCTGGTTTAAGTCCTATTTATCAGATCGATTTCAGTTTGTACATGTTAACGATGAGTCCTCAATGCATGCCAAAGTTAGTCATGGAGTTCCTCAAGGATCTGTCCTCGGACCAATCCTCTTCATTTTATATATGCTTCCTTTAGGCAATATTATCAGGAAATATTCCATAAGCTTTCATTGTTATGCAGATGATACTCAGTTATATCTATCAATCAAACCAGATGAAACTCATCAGTTAGCTAAACTTCAAATGTGCCTTCAGGATGTTAAAAACCTGGATGACCTGTAATTTTCTCATGTTAAACTCAGATAAAACTGAAGTTATTGTTCTGGGGCCTAAGCACCTCCGTGACGCATTATCTAAAGATATAGTTTCCCTTGATGGCATCGCACTGGCCTCCAGAACCACTGTGAGGAATCTTGGAGTTATCTTTGATCAGGACATGTCGTTTAAGTCTCACATTAAGCAAATTTCAACGACCGCCTTTTTTTCACCTACGTAATATTGCGAACATCAGGAACATCCTGTCTAAAAATGATGCAGAAAAACTAGTCCATGCATTTGTTACTTCTAGACTGGATTACTGCAATTCCTTATTATCAGGCTGCTCGAAAAAGTCCGTTAAGACTCTTCAGCTGATCCAGAATGCTGCAGCACGTGTTCTGACAGGAACCAGGAAAAGAGATCACATTTCTCCTGTTTTAGCTTCTTTGCATTGGCTTCCAGTAAAATCCAGAATAGAATTTAAAATCATTCTTCTTACCTACAAAGCTCTTAATGGTCAGGCACCATCTTATCTTAAAGAGCTCATAGTACCTTACTACCCCACCAGAGCACTGCGCTCCCAGAATGCAGGGTTACTTGTGGTTCCTAGAGTCTCCAAAAGTAGACTAGGAGCCAGAGCGTTCAGCTATCAAGCTCCTCTCCTGTGGAACCAGGTTCCAGTTTGGGTTCAGGAGGCAGACACCATCTCCACATTTAAGAGTAGGCTTAAGACTTTCCTCTTTGATAAAGCTTATAGTTAGGGCTGGCTCAGGTGAGTCCTGAACCATCCCTTAGTTATGCTGCTATAGGCCTAGACTGCCGGGGGATTTCCCATGATGCACTGAGCTCCTCTCTCCTCTACTTTCTCTCCCTCTGTATGCAACCTCATCCCATTATTGCATGTTACTAACACAACTTCTCCCCTTTCTGGTAGTCTTGTGCTTTCTCGTCTCTCTCCTCTCTCCTGTCACTTCCTGCAGGTTTTCTGGCTCTGGAGCTGTGGAGTCTGGATCTGTGGTTGCGGGTCACCTGCTGCCCCCGTGTTCCTGCTCGACACCCTCTGCTGCAACGACTATTGTTACTAGTCCTATTGTTATTATTGTTATTATAATCATTAACATTACGATTGTTATTATTAACACTACTATAAATATCTGTACCATTTTTTCATTTATAGCAACATCACCTTTGCTGTCTGTACCTCTGTGTGGATATTGTGTAGGCTGCCTCTCTCTCTCTCTCTCCCTCTCTTGCCCTCTCTCTCTCTCTCTCTCTCTCTCTCTCTCCTTCACCCCAACCGGTCGAGGCAGATGGCCGCCCACCCTGAGTCATGGTTCTGCTCGAGGTTTCTGCCTTTTAAAGGAAGTTTTTCCTTGCCTCTGTCTCCTAGTGCTGCTCTTGGTGGGAACTGTTGGGCTTCTGTAAATAGCATCATAGAGTACGGTCTAGACCTGCTCTTTATGAAAAGCGCTGTGAGATAACTGTTGTTGTGATTTGGCGCTATATATATAAAATTGAATTGAATTGAATTGACATGAGACGTTACCGACTAGACCGTTTGTAACTAGAGACGTTACCGACTAGACCGCTTGTGACAAAAGACGTTACAGACTAGACCCTGTGTGACTAGAGACGTTACCCATTAGACCATTTGTTAGTAGAGACGTTACCGACTAGACCCTTTGTGACTAGAGACGTTACCGACTAGACCGCTTGTGACTAGAGACGTTACGGACTAGACCGTTTGTGACTAGAGACGTTACGGACTAGACCGTTTGTGACTAGAGACGTTACCCACTAGACCGTTTGTGACAAAAGACGTTACGGACTAGACCCTTTGTGACTAGAGACGTTACCCACTAGACCCTTTGTGACTAGAGACGTTACCCACTAGACCCTTTGTGACTAGAGACATTACCGACTAGATCGTTTGTGACAAAAGACGTTACCCACTAGACCGTTTGTGACAAGAGACGTTACCCACTAGACCGTTTGTGACTAGAGATGTTACCCACTAGACCCTTTGTGACAAAAGACGTTACCCACTAGACCCTTTGTGACTAGAGACTTACTGACTAGACCCTTTGTGACTAGAGACGTTACCGACTAGACCGTTTGTAACTAGAGACGTTACCGACTAGACCGCTTGTGACAAAAGACGTTACAGACTAGACCCTGTGTGACTAGAGACGTTACCCATTAGACCATTTGTTAGTAGAGACGTTACCGACTAGACCCTTTGTGACTAGAGACGTTACCGACTAGACCGCTTGTGACTAGAGACGTTACGGACTAGACCGTTTGTGACTAGAGACGTTACGGACTAGACCGTTTGTGACTAGAGACGTTACCCACTAGACCGTTTGTGACAAAAGACGTTACCCACTAGACCCTTTGTGACTAGAGACTTACTGACTAGACCCTTTGTGACTAGAGACGTTACCGACTAGACCCTTTGTGACTAGAGATGTTACCCACTAGACCCTTTGTGACTAGAGACGTTACCGACTAGACCCTTTGTGACTAGAGACGTTACCCATTAGACCATTTGTTAGTAGAGACGTTAACGACTAGACCCTTTGTGACTAGAGACGTTACCGACTAGACCGCTTGTGACAAAAGACGTTACGGACTAGACCCTTTGTGACAAAAGATGTTACTGACTAGACCCTTTGTGACTAGAGACATTACCCACTAGACCGTTTGTGACTAGAGACGTTACCCACTAGACCCTTTGTGACTAGAGACGTTACCCACTAGACCGTTTGTGACAAGAGACGTTACCCGCTAGACCCTTTGTGACTAGAGACGTTACCCACTAGACCCTTTGTGACTAGAGACGTTACTGACTAGACCCTTTGTGACTAGAGACGTTACCGACTAGACCCTTTGTGACTAGAGACGTTACCCACTAGACCCTTTGTGACTAGAGACGTTACTGACTAGACCCTTTGAGACTAGAGATGTTACCCACAAAACCCTTGTGACTAGAGACGTTACCCACTAGACCGTTTGTGACTAGAGACGTTATCCACTAGGCCCTTTGTGACTAGAGACGTTACTGACTAGACCGTTTGTGACAAGAGACGTTACCCACTAGACCCTTTGTGACTAGAGACGTTACTGACTAGACCCTTTGTGACTAGAGACGTTACCCACTAGACCCTTTGTGACTAGAGACGTTACTGACTAGACCCTTTGTGACTAGAGACGTTACCCACTAGACCCTTTGTGACTAGAGACGTTACCGACTAGACCCTTTGTGACTAGAGACGTTACCGACTAGACCCTTTGTGACTAGAGATGTTACCCACTAGACCCTTTGTGACTAGAGACGTTACTCACTAGACCCTTTGTGACTAGAGACGTTACTCACTAGACCCTTTGTGACTAGAGACGTTACCGACTAGACCCTTTGTGACTAGAGACGTTACCCACTAGACCCTTTGTGACTAGAGACGTTACCCATTAGACCATTTGTTAGTAGAGACGTTACCGACTAGACCCTTTGTGACTAGAGACGTTACCGACTAGACCGCTTGTGACAAAAGACGTTACTGACTAGACCCTTTGTGACAAGAGACGTTACTGACTAGACCCTTTGTGACAAGAGACGTTACCCACTAGACCCTTTGTGACTAGAGACGTTACCCACTAGACCCTTTGTGACTTGAGACGCTACCCACTAGACCCTTTGAGACTAGAGATGTTACCCACAAAACCCTTGTGACTAGAGACGTTACCCACTAGACCCTTTGTGACAAAAGACGTTACCCACTAGACCCTTTGTGACTAGAGACTTACTGACTAGACCCTTTGTGACTAGAGACGTTACCGACTAGACCCTTTGTGACTAGAGATGTTACCCACTAGACCCTTTGTGACTAGAGACGTTACCGACTAGACCGTTTGTGACTAGAGACGTTACCCACTAGACCCTTTGTGACAAAAGACGTTACCCACTAGACCCTTTGTGACTAGAGACTTACTGACTAGACCCTTTGTGACTAGAGACGTTACCGACTAGACCCTTTGTGACTAGAGATGTTACCCACTAGACCCTTTGTGACTAGAGACGTTACCGACTAGACCGTTTGTGACTAGAGACGTTACCCACTAGACCCTTTGTGACTAGAGACGTTACCCGCTAGACCGTTTGTGACAAGAGACGTTACCCGCTAGACCCTTTGTGACTAGAGACGTTACCCACTAGACCCTTTGTGACTAGAGACGTTACCCACTAGACCCTTTGTGACTAGAGACGTTACCGACTAGACCCTTTGTGACTAGAGACGTTACCCACTAGACCCTTTGTGACTTGAGACGCTACCCACTAGACCATTTGAGACTAGAGATGTTACCCACAAAACCCTTGTGACTAGAGACCTTACCCACTAGACCGTTTGTGACTAGAGACGTTACCCACTAGGCCCTTTGTGACTAGAGACGTTACTGATTAGACCGTTTGTGACAAGAGACGTTACCCACTAGACCGTTTGTGACAAGAGACGTTACCCACTAGACCCTTTGTGACTAGAGACGTTACTGACTAGACCCTTTGTGACAAGAGACGTTACCCACTAGACCCTTTGTGACAAGAGACGTTACCCACTAGACCCTTTGTGACTAGAGACGTTACCCACTAGACCCTTTGTGACTAGAGACGTTACTGACTAGACCCTTTGTGACTAGAGACGTTACCCACTAGGCCCTTTGTGACTAGAGACGTTACTGATTAGACCGTTTGTGACAAGAGACGTTACCCACTAGACCCTTTGTGACTAGAGACGTTACTGACTAGACCCTTTGTGACAAGAGACGTTACCCACTAGACCCTTTGTGACTAGAGACGTTACTGACTAGACCCTTTGTGACTAGAGACGTTACCCACTAGACCCTTTGTGACTAGAGACGTTACTGACTAGACCCTTTGTGACTAGAGACGTTACCCACTAGACCCTTTGTGACTTGAGACGCTACCCACTAGACGATTTGAGACTAGAGATGTTACCCACAAAACCCTTGTGACTAGAGACGTTACCCACTAGACCGTTTGTGACTAGAGACGTTACCCACTAGACCGTTTGTGACAAGAGACGTTACTGACTAGACCGTTTGTGACTAGAGACGTTACCCACTAGACCGTTTGTGACTAGAGACGTTACCCACTAGACCGTTTGTGACTAGAGACGTTACCCACTAGACCGTTTGTGACTAGAGACGTTACCCACTAGACCCTTTGTGACTAGAGACGTTACTGACTAGACCCTTTGTGACTAGAGACGTTACTGACTAGACCCTTTGTGACTAGAGACGTTACCCACTAGACCGTTTGTGACTAGAGACGTTACTGACTAGACCGTTTGTGACTAGAGACGTTACCCACTAGACCCTTTGTGACTAGAGACGTTACTGACTAGACCCTTTGTGACAAGAGACGTTACCCACTAGACCCTTTGTGACAAGAGACGTTACCCACTAGACCCTTTGTGACTAGAGACGTTACCCACTAGACCCTTTGTGACTAGAGACGTTACTGACTAGACCCTTTGTGACTAGAGACGTTACCCACTAGACCCTTTGTGACTAGAGACGTTACTGACTAGACCCTTTGTGACTAGAGACGTTACCGACTAGACCGTTTGTGACTAGAGACATTACTGACTAGACCCTTTGTGACAAGAGACGTTACCCACTAGACCCTTTGTGACTAGAGACGTTACTGACTAGACCCTTTGTGACTAGAGACGTTACCCACTAGACCCTTTGTGACTTGAGACGCTACCCACTAGACCATTTGAGACTAGAGATGTTACACACAAAACCCTTGTGACTAGAGACGCTACCCACTAGACTGTTTGTGACTAGAGACTTTACCGACTAGAGAGATATAGGACAAGATACATTAGTTGAGTCTGTTTTTAAATAACTTTTTCCCGTTTGTTTAATCAGTGATGTTAACCAAAAACTTACCCCATCACAAATCCATTAATGTAGTCAGTCCCCTCCATGTAACCGAAGTAGAAGTTCCTGGCAGACAGACAGACAGAGAGACAGTTTCAGGTCTTTGTCTTTCAGTTTTTCAGATAAATATTTTGGATATTTTTTCCCTCTGACCTGCCGTAGATCTCTTTGTAGTCTGCAGCCACTTTCTCCACAAGACCTTTATACCTGAACAGGTAACAGGAAACACATCACAGGTCAGATCCAAACAGACGATGTCACTGTTAATTTGACTGTTAACTGATGACGATGCAGTCTTACCACAGACTTTCCTCACACATACTCTTCTCCCCCACCAGCGCCAACAACACCAGTTTATCTGCAGGAGAGAGGCGGAGTTACTTCACATGAACCAATCAGTAGCCTCAGAGCTGTGACTGCAGTTCCTCTAACGTCCACTAGATGCTGCTGTGCTCCAACTCAGACTGTCCAGATGTGAATAAGAGAACCTCCAAAACGTCAACAAACATGTTCAGCTTTATGTCTCTTTAATAAACAGACAGATGTCTTTCAGTGCTTAATTAATGTTTATATGCAAACTAATTTTTAACAATAATAGCAGAAATAGTAATCAAATAAATAAAGATTTTAAGGGGCTGAAATGTGGTGTTGATAAACTGCTTAGTCTGAATTCTATGAGAAAGCATTGACATGATGACAGGGCTGGCCCAGGTTAGTCCTGAACCATCCCTTAGTTATGCTGCTATAGGCCTAGACTGCCGGGGGATTTCCCATGATGCACTGAGCTCCTCTCTCCTCTACTTTCTCTCCCTCTGTATGCAACCTCATCCCATTATTGCATGTTACTAACACAACTTCTCCCCTTTCTGGTAGTCTTGTGCTTTCTCGTCCCTCTCCTCTCTCCTCCTATCACTTCCTGCAGGTGTTTCTGGCTCTGGAGCTGTGGAGTCTGGATCTGTGGTTGCGGGTCACCTGCTGCCCCCGTGTTCCTGCTCGACACCCTCTGCTGCAACGACTATTGTTACTAGTCCTATTGTTATTATTGTTATTATAATCATTAACATTGCGACTTTTATCATTAACACTACTATAAATATCTGTCTCATTTTTCATTTAGTCTATAGCAACATCACCTTTACTGTCTGGACCTCTGTGTGGATATTGTGTAGGCTGCCTCCCTCCCCTCTCTCTCTCTCTCCCCCTCTCTCTCTCTCTCTCTCTCTCTCTCTCTCTCTCTCTCTCTCTCTCTCGCCCTCGCCCACCCTGAGTCATGGTTCTGCTCGAGGTTTCTGCCTCTTAAAAGGAAGTTTTTCCTTGCCTCTGTCTCCTAGTGCTGCTCTTGGTGGGAACTGTTGGGCTTCTGTAAATAACATCACAGAGTACGGTCTAGACCTGCTCTTTATGAAAAGCGCTGTGAGATAACTGTTGTTGTGATTTGGCACTATATAAATAAAATTGAATTGAATTTAATGATGAATTAGAAATGTTTGTTTATGAAATTCACCAATTAATTTATGATAAAACACAAATAACTTATTGTACATTTAAATTTAATTCTAATGTCTTCCCCAAAGCTTACAGCAGACTGTTTAGTTTCATGAAAATAAAACCTTTTCTGGCTCAGTTACAAAATTCACAATTTAATCTTTGAAATTTAAAAATGTCGGGCTGTTCTGTGAAAGTTTCCATGTAATTTCCATTTGCTGGAGAACGTGTGTGTGATGGCTGATTTAAGATTTACGCCCAAACATGTTGAGGCTCGCAGACTCTCCAGCAGGGAAACACTTCCTGGTGGTATGAAGCACTACTGTTGTATTTGGACTGCAGCACAACCTACAGGTGAAAGGCCATCAAAGTAATCTACATATGAAACAAAGCGTCTGCCTGTCAGTACGAACTGTGGGAGTAGACATGGGGATGGTAACGTGTTTAAACATGTACATGTAAGTATGATTTCTCTAACATGTATGTAATATATTGATGGTGTTACGGGTACTTCCACAGGCCGCCATTCAAAAGAAAATCCTAAAACTGTAACTGAACCGAGCTTCTAGCTGCAGAAGGATAATGTTCAAACCAGCAGCTTCAGTTTACCTGAGGATGGAACATCAGCCTCAGGTGTGTTCTGTTACCTGACTCTCCCATGGAGTACATAGTGTAGCTGTCGATCTTAAAGAAGTTTGGGAAACGTTCTCTGTTGATCCATGACTTGAGATCACCGTCACGTTCCTCTGAAACACAATTCAAACTCATGAAAGACGAGACCTGAATATTTGGTTCCACATGTTCTCTGAGTTTAATCACACACCAACATGCCTGCCTTAATTCGTTAACTATTCAGCCATCAGTAATTAAGTGATATTAAAAGGATTTAATGGATTGTAATAGTCTTTGTCGACATTGTAATTCCTTTCAGTTAAACCCAAGAGTGTCCGGCTGCAGACCTCCAGTGTGGAGTTACTTCTGGTGCAGGCTCCACTGTCAGGACAGGAAGTACATGCAAAAAATACAAAATAAATTCGTGCGATTTGACAGAAAACTGGAAACGCATGCAAAAATTATAAAAACAAAAGTGGAAGGGATTTTGTTGTTGATTTATATTTAATTAATTCAACATTGTAATGTGAAAACTAGTAATTCCTTAAATATATTGATTGGAGCCTATTCTGTCTACTTGGCACTTAACGTGCCAGTGTAGCAACAAAGCCGACTGTTTATCCATTCAATACTTCTACTAGTAAGTTTTTTACACAAGCTTTTGATTTATTCTGTCAAAATAGGACATTAACTCCGTCCATACAGCAGCCACATCAATTCACAGAAAAACACAAGCTGATTAAACACTGGCAGCGTAGCCTCTCTTCCCGTCTTTCTAAAAAACTAAAATATTTCCCTTTGGAGAATATTATACTCTGACATTTTAATGCTGTCAGTTGAGTTTAATATGAAGAACCGACAATGCTGGGAACTGGACTGCAGTTGTAATCTGAGCTTCGTGGAGGTCTGTAGTATAACGAATGTTACCAGCAGAGATAAAATAAGTAAATATATCCTTTAAACCTAACGAGACCGAGACTTCACTCATTACCTGATCCAACACTTTCTCTCTCACAGCAGCTCGCTGCTACTAGTTTAAGTTTCAGTCGCCTGAAATATGCTGCTGCTCAACGAGAGGACGCAAATCCACCCTTTATGGTTTCATATTGATTATTATTAATATTATATATATTGCACTTTTTTCCATTAGGGTTATAGTATTATTGTATTTTTTCTATGCTTGTACATTTTGGATCCCTTTACTTTTTATATATTTATGTTCATATGTTCTGTGAGCACCAGCTTATACCAAGGCAATTTCTTCGTATATAAAAAATGTACCTGGCAATAAACCTCATTCTGATTCTGAATATATTATTAATCCTGCCATGATGACAGTAATGTGGTGCGCTGTTTACTTTCGCCTGTTTATCTGGTCATTTAAAGCTGAGAGGTCAATTTCTTGTCTCACCGTCAAATGTCAAATAGGTTCCATCTTTAAAAACCACCACAGCTGGCAGAGAGGGGAGGATGACGTCCTGCAAACACAGAGATGAACAAACAATGCTGAATGCATCATGACAGCAGGTCTACAGACAGGTAGACGGGCTCCACCTACCATAATCTACTGTCACCTACTGTCACCTACCATAATCTGCTGTCACCTACTGTCACCTACCATAATCTGCTGTCACCTACTGTCACCAACCATAATCTGCTGTCACCTACTGTCACCTACCATAATCTACTGTCACCTACTGTCACCTACCATAATCTACTGTCACCTACTGTCACCTACCATAATCTGCTGTCACCTACTGTCACCTACCATAATCTACTGTCACCTACTGTCACCTACCATAATCTGCTGTCACCTACTGTCACCTACCATAATCTACTGTCACCTACTGTCACCTACCATAATCTGCTGTCACCTACTGTCACCTACCATAATCTACTGTGACCTACCATAATCTGCTGTCACCTACTGTCACCTACCATAATCTGCTGTCACCTACTGTCATTTACTGTCCTCTACTGTCACCTACCATAATCTGCTGTCACCTACTGTCACCTACCATAATCTACTGTCACCTACTGTCACCTACCATAATCTGCTGTCACCTACTGTCACCTACCATAATCTACTGTCACCTACTGTCACCTACCATAATCTGCTGTCACCTACTGTCACCTACCATAATCTACTGTCACCTACAATAAACAACTGTCACCTACTGTCACCAACCATAATCTGCTGTCACCTACTGTCACCTACCATAATCTACTGTCACCTACCATAATCTACTGTCACCTACTGTCACCTACCATAATCTGCTGTCACCTACTGTCACCTACCATAATCTACTGTCACCTACTGTCACCTACCATAATCTGCTGTCACCTACTGTCACTTCGGTCCTCTACTGTCACCTACAATAATCAACTGTCACCTACTGTCACTTACCGTCCTCTACTGTCACCTACCATGATCTGCTGTCACCTACTGTCACTTCGGTCCTCTACTGTCACCTACAATAATCAACTGTCACCTACTGTCACTTACCGTCCTCTACTGTCACCTACCATAATCTGCTGTCACCTACTGTCACCTACCATAATCTACTGTGACCTACCATAATCTGCTGTCACCTACTGTCACCTACCATAATCTGCTGTCACCTACTGTCATTTACTGTCCTCTACTGTCACCTACCATAATCTGCTGTCACCTACTGTCACCTACCATAATCTACTGTCACCTACTGTCACCTACCATAATCTGCTGTCACCTACTGTCACCTACCATAATCTACTGTCACCTACTGTCACCTACCATAATCTGCTGTCACCTACTGTCACCTACCATAATCTACTGTCACCTACAATAAACAACTGTCACCTACTGTCACCAACCATAATCTGCTGTCACCTACTGTCACCTACCATAATCTACTGTCACCTACCATAATCTACTGTCACCTACTGTCACCTACCATAATCTGCTGTCACCTACTGTCACCTACCATAATCTACTGTCACCTACTGTCACCTACCATAATCTGCTGTCACCTACTGTCACTTCGGTCCTCTACTGTCACCTACAATAATCAACTGTCACCTACTGTCACTTACCGTCCTCTACTGTCACCTACCATGATCTGCTGCCACCTACTGTCACTTCGGTCCTCTACTGTCACCTACAATAATCAACTGTCAGCTACTGTCACTTACCGTCCTCTACTGTCACCTACCATAATCTGCTGCCACCCACCATAATCTGCTGTCACCTACTGTCACTTTGGTCCTCTACTGTCACCTACAATAATCAACTGTCACCTACTGTCACCCACCATAATCTGCTGTCACCTACTGTCACTTCGGTCCTCTACTGTCACCTACAATAATCAACTGTCACCTACTGTCACTTACCGTCCTCTACTGTCACCTACCATAATCTGCTGCCACCTACCATAATCTACTGTCACCCACCATAATATGCTGTCACCTACTGTCAGTTACCGTCCTCTACTGTCACCCACCATAATCTACTGTCACCCACCATAATCTGCTGTCACCTACTGTAACTTCGGTCCTTTACTGTCACCTACAATAATCAACTGTCACCTACTGTCACTTACCGTCCTCTACTGTCACCTACCATAATCTGCTGTCCTCTACTGTCACCTACCATAATCTGCTGCCACCTACCATAATCTACTGTCACCCACCATAATCTGCTGTCACCTACTGTCACTTACTGTCCTCTACTGTCACCTACCATAATCTGCTGTCACCTACTGTCACTTACCATAATCTGCTGTCACCTACTGTTACTTACTGTCCTCTACTGTCACCTACCATAATCTGCTGTCCTCTACTGTCACCTACCATGATATGCTGTCACCTACTGTCAGTTACCATAATCTGCTGTCACCTACTGTCACTTACTGTCCTCTACTGTCACCTACCGTAATCTGCTGTCACCTATTGTCACTTACCATAATCTGCTGTCACCTACTGTCACTTACTGTCCTCTACTGTCACCTACCGTAATCTACTGTCAACTACTGTCACTTACCATAATCTGCTGTCACCTACTGTCACTTACTGTCCTATACTGTCACCTACCATAATCTGCTGTCACCTACTGTCACTTACTGTCCTATACTGTCACCTACCATAATCTGCTGCCACCTACCATAATCTACTGTCACCTACCATAATCTATTGTCACCTACTGTCACCCACCATAATCTACTGTCACCTACTGTCACTTACTATCCTCTACTGTCACCTACCATAATCTACTGTCACCTACTGTCACCCACCATAATCTACTGTCACCTACTGTCACTTACTATCCTCTACTGTTACCTACCATAATCTATTGTCACCTACTGTCACTCACCATAATCTGCTGTCCTCTACTGTCATTTACCGTCCTCTACTGTCACCTACCATAATCTACTGTTACCTACTGTCAGTTACCATAATCTGCTGTCACCTACTGTCACTTACTGTCCTCTACTGTCACCTACCATAATCTGCTGTCACCTACTGTCACTTACCATAATCTGCTGTCACCTACTGTCACTTACTGTCACCTACCATAATCTGCTGTCACCTATTGTCACTTACCATAATCTGCTGTCACCTACTGTCAATTACTGTCCTCTACTGTCACCTACCGTAATCTACTGTCACCTACTGTCACTTACCGTCCTCTACTGTCACCTACCATAATCTGCTGCCACCTACCATAATCTGCTGTTACCTACTGTCACTTACTGTCCTCTACTGTCACCTACCATAATCTGCTGTCACCTACTGTCACTTACCATAATCTGCTGTCACCTACTGTCACTTACTGTCCTCTACTGTCACCTACCATAATCTGCTGTCCTCTACTGTCACCTACCATGATATGCTGTCACCTACTGTCAGTTACCATAATCTGCTGTCACCTACTTTCACTTACTGTCCTCTACTGTCACCTACCATAATCTGCTGTCACCTATTGTCACTTACCATAATCTGCTGTCACTTACTGTCCTCTACTGTCACCTACCGTAATCTACTGTCACCTACCATAATCTGCTGTCACCTACTGTCACTTACTGTCCTCTACTGTCACCTACCATAATCTGCTGTCACCTACTGTCACTTACCATAATCTGCTGTCACCTACTGTCACTTACTGTCCTCTACTGTCACCTACCGTAATCTACTGTCAACTACTGTCACTTACCATAATCTGCTGTCACCTACTGTCACTTACTGTCCTCTACTGTCACCTACCATAATCTGCTGTCCTCTACTGTCACCTACCATGATATGCTGTCACCTACTGTCAGTTACCATAATCTGCTGTCACCTACTTTCACTTACTGTCCTCTACTATCACCTACCATAATCTGCTGTCACCTATTGTCACTTACCATAATCTGCTGTCACTTACTGTCCTCTACTGTCACCTACCGTAATCTACTGTCACCTACCATAATCTGCTGTCACCTACTGTCACTTACTGTCCTCTACTGTCACCTACCATAATCTGCTGTCACCTACTGTCACTTACCATAATCTGCTGTCACCTACTGTCACTTACTGTCCTCTACTGTCACCTACCATAATCTGCTGTCCTCTACTGTCACCTACCATGATATGCTGTCACCTACTGTCACTTACTGTCCTCTACTGTCACCTACCATAATCTGCTGTCACCTACTGTCACTTACCATAATCTGCTGTCACCTACTGTCACTTACTGTCCTCTACTGTCACCTACCATAATCTGCTGTCCTCTACTGTCACCTACCATGATATGCTGTCACCTACTGTCAGTTACCATAATCTGCTGTCACCTACTTTCACTTACTGTCCTCTACTGTCACCTACCGTAATCTACTGTCAACTACTGTCACTTACCGTCCTCTACTGTCACCTACCATAATCTGCTGCCACCTACCATAATCTACTGTCACCCACCATAATATGCTGTCACCTACTGTCAGTTACCGTCCTCTACTGTCACCTACCATAATCTGCTGCCACCTACCATAATCTACTGTCACCCACCATAATATGCTGTCACCTACTGTCAGTTACCGTCCTCTACTGTCACCCACCATAATCTACTGTCACCTACTGTCACCCACCATAATCTGCTGTCACCTACTGTCACTTACCGTCCTCTACTGTCACCCACCATAATCTGCTGCCACCTATTGTCACTTACCATAATCTATTGTCACCTACTGTCACTTACTGTCCTCTACTGTCACCTACCATAATCTGCTGTCACCTACTGTCACTTACCATAATCTGCTGTCACCTACTGTCACTTACTGTCCTCTACTGTCACCTACCATAATCTGCTGTCCTCTACTGTCACCTACCATGATATGCTGTCACCTACTGTCACCTACCATGATATGCTGTCACCTACTGTCAGTTACCATAATCTGCTGTCACCTACTTTCACTTACTGTCCTCTGCTGTCACCTACCATAATCTGCTGTTACCTACTGTCACT